CAAGCATCAAGTCTGAAAATTCCTTAATGTATTCCCGGATTTGGCCTTCCCTATGGTGCAAACGATGAAGCTTGGCCCGGCTTCATCCTTCGCATCCACAGGTAGGAAATATTTTCTAAACTCTTCGTTAAAACCACCCGATGTGGTGAAGACCAGGGCTCCATCCCCCACGGGTTTCATCATACATTTCCACCAACTCAAAGCACTATCTTTAAGATAAAGAGAGGCTTGGAAGAGTCTTACCGAGTCATCTACGATGTTCATAGCCCCAAAGTACCGTTCCATACTGTAGAGAAAGTTCTCTATGTCCCTCAAACGACAGCTGCCCTTGTACTCATCCGGCTTGGGCGCTTCTTAGCCTTGGAACCGTCCCCACAGCTCCGGTTGTCCCTTACACGGCCATGGCATCAAGCCGTGCTTTAAGGCGCGTCGATTCTGCCCGAGAAGTCTCCAGCTCCCCCATAAGCCAGTTGACGTCGTCTTGGAGGGCGGCAACAAAAGCAAGGCTTTCCTCCTTCGACTTGTTGCAATGTTCCACCATCTCGTTGAGCATCCCTAGCATATCTTCCTTCGTTTGCTGCATGACCTCTTGCAATTCACCCACGAATCGCTCCATGCGAGCTTCGACGATCCCGCCATCGTGTCGGGGTGCTCGTCCCAACGGTCTTGATGGTCGGCCACAACAAGCTCTAGCTTGGTAAGCCGTTTCTTGAATTCCACCATGGGCTCCCTAACGACCGACTTCTCTTTGCGGCTTCCCTTGCAAGGGGCCCTCTCCACATCGCGGGAAACGTGATCCCCCTCAAGCTCCGACCCTTGAACGACCTCTGAAGGGTTAGACATAGCTTATGCACGAGCTTAGCAATAAAAGCGTAGACGATGTAGCACCACCAAGTATAGAGCCGCAGCTCTGATACCAACTGTCACGGGCTTACTTTTTCAAAGTAACAGTCGTGCGGCACTAGCACTAAAACAACCAACATGAACGTGCTAGGTCAGCCTTGACCCCTTAAACGTGCAAAGCTATGCAAGAGAACTTAAGAACGTAGGCAAAGGAAAGCTTAAGAAAGCTTGGAAATGAAAGAACGAAGTAGACACAAGAGAGGTTAAGGAATGCTTGAGAAACTTAATCAAAGCTTGGATGGATACAAATGAAGGAGGCATGGGGTATTTATAGGCTAAGTCCCCAAGTCCATAAGAATTCTAGAGAATTCTATACAAAGAATAAAATAATAATCTTCTAGGGAATTCTATGAATAAAATATTCTAAGTGTAGAATTCCATAGAATTCAAGAAGCTTCCAGCCCGTTCCTGACCGACCTAGCAAAACCCGGGAAGCTTCCCTACGTTTCCAGCAAAGTCTGGCTCCTTCTAGAGAATTCCAATTCTGTCTAGGCTTGACCGGAGAATTCCAGCAAGCCCTAGCTTGACCCGTCCCTTGTCCCATCTAAGGAAACGATCCGGCTACCCAGCAAACCACACAAGAACGTGGGAAAGACCGGCTGACCTGAAAAACGAGGAAACGGCCGTGACACGTTAACAGTGGCCTAACGAGCGCCGAGAGAGACGAAGTGGAGAGAGAAAACTTTCCTAAGCATTTTTTGCTCCGTCAAGCGCCCGAGATGATGTTATACCGCTCAAACCTTATATTGCTGTCATTTATTTATTTATTTATTTTTGTGAAAACGTACACAGAAAATTCTTCATCCATTTTGAAAAAAAAAAAGTCTAAAGTGACTTATGAGATTTATGTCGTTAAAACTATTATAAAATCAACAAATAGACCAGATCGTTTTTTATTTTTACTTTAAAATTTTATTTGAAATATTAAATCATCTAAATTTACAAATTTTTTGTTTTTAAAATTATTTTATTTTTTTGGGAGGGGATAATTTGAACCTCAATTCCATTAAGATATTCACAAAGTTGAAAATTCAGACAAATTTGACTAAATTTGGCAGGACAAGCAATCACAATCAGAGCTCACCATCACATTCACAATAGTCATGGTATACGAATAGTCCTATTATATGTGCATTTTTTTAAAAAAATAATTCATTTTTAAGACCAAAAAATAGTTAGTTAAAAGTGATACTAGTACTATTTATTATAAATATTTTTAAAAGTTTCTTATTTACTGGTCAACATTGCAAAACCGATCACCGTTAATGGGTATATATAATCCAGCGCGGAGAACTATATGCTAGCTTAAACAAGTCTGTATTGTGTGTGGAACCAAATTCATCAATTAAGCTTGTGGATTCTTATTCTTGTTTTTTTTTTCTTTTTTTTTTTGAAGTGCATTAACGCAATTCATTAACGCTTGTAAGATGCTCACACTTTAATTAGTGTAGTACTACATATTATGATACTCCCTCCGATCTTTATTATAAGGCATTTTGATTTCGTCCTATGTTTCACCTACGATGTCTTTTTAATTGAAATAAAAACCGTAAAATCATTTCATAATAATTAGGAGAATACAACGAATGTGAAAATATGTTTTTAAGGTTTTTTTTTCTCCAATTAAAAAGACATCCTAGGTTAAACCTAGGACGGAATCAAAATGCCTTATAATAAGGACTGGAGGGAGTAATAACTATCTGGGTGGGGATCCAACAATTAAAATGGTGGATCTTTCAAGTTAGTATTTTAAATTACCTATATTTTTTTTAATATGTCGTATATTACGGTATACACAAATATTAAGAAAACAATGGTAGGGAATTTAATCTCTAAGTATCATATATTTTTTGCCCCTATATAAAACTATTAGAACTATAGAAAATTTTAAAATTGTTGTAAAAAAAATAGAAAAAGATAAGGGTGAAATTGAAAAGTAGAGAAAGGTAAATGTAAGATTGAAAAATTTGTAATTAATGTTACATTGGAAATGAAGTGTGTCAGATAAAAATACGTTTACCTTAATATAATAGATTAAAAAAAACAGAAGTAATCCTAATACTTGACAACAAAAATCTTAATGAGCAAGAAGTCAAATGAAAAATTAAGATATTAAAAGTAAGGGAAAATTTGGATTAAGGGCAGTAGGGAACTTTTAATAAATAAAAGGGATACAAGTTTCACATAATATGGATTAAGGACAGTAAATTATTTTTTCAAAATCATTAAATTAATTTATTTATGCACTATCGTAATTACCCTTGTTATTTAACCCTATCACGTCGAAGTAGAAAAAAAAAACCAAAATCCTTCTTCACTTCTCCAGCCGCGTTTCATCGCCCGACTTCACAAATATTCATCCGTCAAGATTTTTGCAAGGTAATCATAGCAAATTTGTTTATAAAATTGACAGTGATGAATTCATTTTGTACTCTTTTGGTAATCAATTCAATTTGAGTTATAAAATAATCTACTTTAATTTGTCTTTCTCTATATTATAAAATGAATGTAGTTGTTGATTATATATAGTTTCTCTGATGAGTGCGCTTCTATGTTCCAAATCAGTGAGTGGGTATATTACAAATGGAATAAGTTAGTCGTCATCGTCTCTAAGGTAATAACCAATCTAAATGGGATTTCATTCTTCGGGGAAACAAAAATCTGAAGAACGCAGAGCTAAAATGCTTGATGAGATAGCACATGAAATACCAAGAGAAATTATAATAAAAAACTAAATTTATTATTTTATAATATTGAGAAAGACAAATTAAATTAGATTTTTTATGACTCAAATTGAATTGATCACTGGAAAGAGCACCAATGCATTGATCACTGCCAATTGATCAATTTGCTATGGTTTGAAAAAAAATGCCAATAGATTATATTTGGTGAAAGAATTTGAGCAATAAACACGACTGGAGAAATGAGGAACGATTTTGATTTTTTTTCTCCTTTCTAGTACAACGTGAATAAGGGCAATTATGGTACTGCATACACAAATTAATTTTATGATTTTAAGAAAATAATTTACTACCCTTAATTCATATTATGTAAAACTTGCATCCTTTTTATTAATTAAAAACTCTTTACTGCTCTTAATCCAAATTTTCCCTAAAAGTAATACAATTCAATAAAATAAAAAATCAATATATCTATACTACTAAATAAAAAGTAAACTTCAACGCCATTGGAATAAAACAGCAACTCTGCAACTCAACTCCATAAAAAATATGTCCATCGTTTTTTAAATTACGACTCCTCATTTTTTTTTGACAAGAATTCCCTAAAAAATAAAAAGTTAAAATAGTACGATTTAAAAAAAAAAAAACATCCATGAAAATAGGAACTCTATATCCATTTGTTTTAAACATCAACTCCATCAAAATTTAAATAGGCACTCCATTTCTGCCCAATACTGTTTACTTTCTCTGTCTCAAAATTATTATCCAGTTTGAGATTTTACTTTTAATACAATTTCAACTAAAGATAAAAACTCAAAATGGACAATAATTACGAGACAGAGAAAATACTAACAACAAACAACTATCAATGGGACAATGGGGGATCTTATTGAATAAATCCGGTGAGTACTATAAATATCATACATAACATGTATCGATTCAATTATATATACAAGTATGTGTTAAAAGATTATGCGATCTGTGAGAGATTATTGAATAGTACTCTCTCCGGTCCTTATTATAAGACATTTTGATTTATCATATGTTTGTCCTAAATTTAACCTAGGATATTCTTTTAATTGAAATAAAAACCTTAAAAACATTTCCTAATATTTAGGAGAATACGACGAATGTGAAAATATATTTTTAAGGTTTTTTAATTAAAAACGTATCTTAAGTGAAACCTAAGATAGAATTAAAATGCCTTATAATAAGGACCGAAGAGAGTAGTTAATAAATATTTAATAATTAAGGAGATTTTTTATTAGTAACTTTAATATTTTTACAGCTCATAGCCCATCATTAACCCCAAAAATATTGTCCATTCGACCAATCCCCGGCCCACCAAAACTATTCATTAGCACCTAGACAACTTTTAAATCTTCAAATCCATAGAAAATTCAGACTTCCATAATCCTGGAAGAACACAAAATAGGGAGTAGTATTAAAATTTAAAACTGAATAAACCTCGGAATCGGACAAGGTGTACACATCATAAAGTCACCTAGACACAACCTATGTCTCTGTTCAAGTCTCTCAGATGTCAGCAACAGCTCACAATCTCCATCTTTTTCCTAAATGTAGTACACGTGAATTCCTATCCAGAATGGCATTTATCCCAATTAAGCACATTCTTAATACGTAATTCTTTATAAATTTATTCAATTCTTGATTCCCTCTCCGAAAGAGATTACATAGTTTAGTTAGTGTTTCTATTAATTAACTCTGCTTCCTCGTACTCATCTTCGTGTCTTTATCTTCTTTGATCCTGCCATCCTTGAACATAAAGCGTAACAGGGTCACAGCATTCAGAGCATAATCCATCCTCAAGATTGAATTTTTGATTCTGGGTCTTGTTTCTTTCAAGGAAGAAAAGCTATGGCTGCAACAGATGTAGTGGTTTTGGAACATGGGAAAGTGTCTGAGAGCAATAATCATGCCTGTTGCAAAAAGGGTCCTGGATATGCTACCCCAATTGAAGCCATGTCTGGTCCTAGAGAAGCTCTGATTTATGTCACCTGTATTTATACAGGTAACAACTTGATGCTTTTTATTTTGGTTTGTGTTCTGAGATGATCTGATGTTTTTTGGCTGTTGTTCTGATATTTTGATATGATTTAGTGGGATTGGGTATTCTGTTTGCTTTTGATTTCGACTTATGATTGATGAGGTTTGATGGTTGAATGTATTCATGGTTTGGGAATAAACAAATCGGATGTTTGTCTTTGTAATAATAATCTGATTCACATAGAAAAGAAGCACTTAGCTGCTTGTTGAAAAAAATGTGATGAAAATTATCCAAATATAACAGGAACAGGGAAGGAGAAGCCTGATTACCTGGCTACAGTGGATGTTGATCCGAATTCACCAACTTACTCTAAGGTCATCCACAGGCTGCCTATGCCTTATGCTGGTGATGAACTTCATCATTCTGGATGGAATTCCTGTAGCTCTTGCCATGGAGATCCTGCTGCTTCCAGGAGATATCTTGTCCTGCCTTCATTGATGTAAGAGATGACATCTTTCTGCTACTTAAAGTAACTTTCTGTATGTGTAAACCTCTTAGATTACGTTTGTTGACAGTCTGAAAATATGCAAGTGTTGTATTTGTTTTTGGTACTTGAGAAAACCAAATCGCTTTGAGTGTTTTGAGAATTAGTCACCCAGCCAAAACCAATTTATTAGACTTCTTTTTTCATTGTTACTATTGGTTTTAACCTGCTTTTCACACATTTAAAATTCTATAAGAGTATTCTTTGATTGTTTGGATGATGTTGGTTCACAGTTTTTCTTTTTCAATAGCTTTTTATGAAGAATATTTAGTTTTCTATTTTTCGTCGAAAAATTTATTGTAAGTGCACAGTTGACTTATTGATGGCATACAACAAACAAAATTTCTGCAAATTTTGATATTCTATGTCAGAGACAAGTATACTTACTTTAACATCTGTCTTTCAGATCTGGTCGGATATATGCAGTTGACACACTAGCTGATCCCAAGGCTCCAACTTTGCATAAGGTTGTTGAGCCTGATGAGATCATTCAGAAGACTGGTTTAGCATACCCACACACCGCTCACTGTCTTGCATCTGGTGAGATCATGGTTTCATGCCTTGGAGACAAAGATGGAAAGGCAGAGGGAAATGGCTTCCTTTTGCTTGACTCCCAATTTAACGTGAAAGGAAGGTATGCTGTTAATGAATGTTTGAAGTTAAATTTATTAGGTGAAATTAGTTTTATACATATACTGATGATGCACAAAGTTACCTTAGAACTATCTTATCTCTTGTTGTCAGACTCCTCCTGGCTTAGACCAGCTCCAGATTTTCTCACATCTAATCTGTTCAATGCTAGAATTGATGTTTAGACATTAAAGATTACAATTTGTGACTCTGTATTGTAGGTGGGACAAACCTGGACATAGTCCTCTATATGGGTATGATTTCTGGTATCAACCCAGGCATAAGACAATGATTAGCACTTCATGGGGAGCCCCATCGGCTTTTACCCAGGGATTCAACCCCCAGCACGTTGCAGATGGTCTTTATGGCCGCCATTTGCATGTGTACAGCTGGCCTGATGGTGAACTGAAACAGACATTAGATCTTGGTAACACTGGACTCATACCCTTGGAGGTGAATATCAGATTTGAATTTCTCTTTTCATCACAATTATGCATGTGGTCTTGTATATTTTAACATGAGTAGAAAGAAAATAGTTCTTTGATTCATGACGGCCTGATAATAATGTGTTAACAGATAAGGTTTTTGCACGATCCCTCCAAGGACACCGGCTTTGTTGGATGTGCCTTGACAAGCAACATGGTACGATTTTTCAAAAACCCAGATGATTCATGGAGTCATGAGGTGAGAACAAAGAGTTGGATTTTGTTAAACTATGTTGGTTGCCTGGTAGGAATACGAATCTTGAGCAAGTTTCTAAACATGATTTCAGGTCTCAATATCAGTCAAATCCTTGAAGGTTCACAATTGGATCCTTCCTGAGATGCCTGGTCTAATAACAGATTTTCTTATTTCTCTTGATGATCGCTTCCTCTACTTGGCAAACTGGCTTCATGGTGATATCAGACAGTATAACATTGAAGATCCTAAGAATCCCAAGCTCACTGGACAACTATGGGTTGGAGGATTATTTAGAAAGGGTAGCCCTGTACTTGCTGAAGCTGAGGATGGTACAAGATACCAGGTTGACGTCCCAGACATTCAGGTAGGTTTGAAGGTTTCCTTTTTGGCTTTATAATAGAATATCTCAAATTTGTCCTTGTATTCGAAAATACGGTGCTGGTTTCTGATATTTTACCTCTTCAAGTCTATACCTTAATCTAGATGGATACTGACTGCTTGATTTCATTTTATAGGGCAAGCAACTGAGAGGAGGGCCTCAGATGATTCAGTTGAGTCTAGATGGCAAGCGGCTTTACGCCACAAATTCACTCTTCAGTGCATGGGATCGGCAGTTTTATCCTGATCTTGTGCAGAAAGGAGGCCACATAATACAGATTGATGTTGACACAGAGAAAGGCGGTCTTGCCATAAATCCGAATTTCTTTGTGGACTTTGGAGCTGAACCTGAAGGACCATCTTTAGCACATGAAATGAGATATCCTGGAGGTGACTGCACTTCTGACATATGGATATAAGCAATACTCATTACCCTTTTCGTTCAATTTTAAGTCAACAAGATGTAAGCTGGTTGCAGCGCACAGCCAGCCACTTTACTGTAATTGACAATTTAATCATATGTGGTTTATGATGAGTTTTTGAGTTAAAAAATGGTTCAAAAAAAGGAGTAGAGATAAATATAGGTCGAATTTTGGGGAAGAGCAAAATACCGATATCGGATTCCTAAAATCTGATTTTCCAATTAAATCGGATTCTCAAAATCCGACCTTTCCTTAATACGAAAAATTAATGAAATTAATCAAGATTAAGAGAAGGTTGAATTTTTAAAATCCGACTCTATCATATTAAAATAAAATATTTTCAAGAAAAACACTTTTTTTTTTTGAAATAAAATTTTGACCAAGGTCGGATTTTTAAATTCCGATTTTAGTATAAGGTCGGATTTCAAAAATCCGGGTATGCTTAAATCGGATTTTGAGAATCCGGGTAAGTTAAGTTCGGATTCTCAAAATCCGATTTCTTAGTAAAACAAGCAGAAGGTCGGATTTCTCAAATCCGACCTTGGACAGACACTTTAAAAAAATAAAGGATTGGTTTCTAAACCAATCCCAACCTATCAAAACAGCACCAAAACCAAATTTCACGCATTAAATTACCTACAAACACATTCTAAACACATCGAAACAAACATTAACAAATTCAAATCCCAAAATCATCCAAATTAACACATTTATACATTAAAGAGTTATAAATCAAAGAGTCCTACAATTGAATTACTTTGACGACCTTTTCTTCCTTATAGCCCCGTCGCCGGGAGTATACTTCTTGGCCGGTTTACTAACCCTATCACTCTTACGAACCTCGACCGTTTTCTTTTTCTTGAGGTGGAGAGGACTCTTCTTCTTTTTCTTCTTCTTCGCCCCTAATGTAGTAATCTTCATCGCTTTCATTGCCTTCATCATCTTCATCATCTTCTTGCATCGGAGTTGGATTAGGATGAACTATGATTGTTCGATCTGAAATTCCCGGTCGCTTCCTCCTTCCTCCTCCAGTAGGTGTCGATGTTGTTTTCTGCGTGAGCACCACATTTTGACTTGACTCTGGGGGTCTTTTCTGAAGAACTTGAGTATCGGGCTGAGTGCTCATATCACGTGGGCCCAAAGTCAGGACACTGAAACTCTTGTCGAAGATTTGGAAGAGTTTATCCTCTAGACTACCACCGAGGCTTGGATTTTCCCGTAAGGCTGCATCAGCAAGATGATATATGTCGCTGAGATTTGAAGACTGCAGAAAATTGAACCATGTTAATAAAATATAAGATATAGCAAGAATTAAAATATAAAAAAATTTAAAATAAAATATCGACATATATCTTACATAAAATCTCTCCAGAGATGAAGACGAGTGATAACCCTGTGCCAGAGGGCCGTATTGAGTGGGATCAGTCATAAATCTGATAGTCTTCTTTTGAAACCACGGCATGTAGTCCGATGTGCATTGAGGACCTAGTTCCCGGATCAACCAATTCATGAGGGACCACGTGCTGATCTCTCACATTCCAATGAGGTCGTACCTCAGTGTGTTTTTGCACCCAATCATCATATGCCTTTCCAGTCCCAAGGCATCCGTGGTGTATCGCATTCCAGCGATCAATGTCATTGATTAACGGGTATTCTGGCACAGTTTGCACGCATTGAAATTGACGAAAGACCTGATTGGGCTCGTATGGTTCTCTGATGGCCCAACAAAAGATCCACGTCCTACAGAGATAGAAATGAACCCCCCTCTTTACAGAAATCAGGGAGATCGTCGATGAAGGGAGTTAATGGAGTCCATAGAAACTGTCCAAAATTAAAAAATTGGTAAAAAAAATAGAGAAAAAAATGAAAAAGAATTTTATCGAGCAGCTTAATCAATACTTGCATCCCCATTCCTTAGGCTAGATAACTGATCCCTGATGCCAGCAACACAATGACCGGCGATGTTCGCTTTAGATTTTGGGCATTTCTACCTACGATTGAGACATAATAGGAAATAAAAATTAATAAAATAAATCATTGGATTGAGACATAATAGGAAATAAAAATTGATAAAATAAATCTATAATTACCTATTGCCTAGTGGTGCGTCCGACACCAAGTAACTCTCATCTTTAACCTTCCTCTTTGGTTGAAGTCTTGGGATACGCTCCCAAACCCATAACTGAAATTTTAAATCAAACAGAAACGGCACAAATTAGGAAAACAAACAAAAATATAATAAAAAAATATAAATAAAAAAAAGAAACAAAAAAATTTACCTGCATCAGCATATAACATCCGGTAATGTCTTTTTTCCCGGGCACTGAAGCTTGACACAAAGCAAAGTACAACTTCGCTAACACAGCTGACCCCCAACTGTAGGTAGCACAGACATCCAAATCCTCGAGTATTGTTAGGATCCAAAGCGGTATTCTGTTTCCCGTATTGTCAGGAATCAAGAAACCTCCAATCAGTAGTAAAAGTAATGCACGGGCCCTCTGTGTATAGGCCTCTCTTGGGGCATTTTCTGAGATCGGACGCAGACACTCGTTGATTAAACACTCTGCATAAATCTTATTCCCATCAAACATGTCACTAACGGGTGTAATTCCCAACAATCTAAAGCACATTGCCATCCACTGTGCCATAGAATTCTCGACCAATAGACATTAATGAAATATGGACCGTTAAACGCCATTTATATCTGTTGATTACATGAATTACAACTATTCATGAACAAATTATTAAAAAAAATGACACAAACAAGGCATTATCAAACAACTTATTATAACAATTACCACAAACAAGGCATAATCAACACTAAATTTACTAAACCCCCTACAAATTCAAAAGTTAAGGCCAAATTCAAGCATTTTACTAAATTGAACGTTCAATACCACGTATACAACAATTATCATCAACTACACCTAACATCAACCCTAAAACCTTATGAATCATCCTAGTTCTACACTTTTACAAAGAAAATAACAACAATAATTCTAAATACATCAAAACATTAACTAACCTTCATGTGAAATGGTTTTAAGACATCCGTTGCGAAGAATCGTGAACAAAATCTTCAAATCGCCACTAAAATCACCTCCTCCTTCAAGAAATAGCCTCCTTTACCAAAAATCCCGATATGTGAACAGTGTTTTCCGTCGCCCCATTATAACACAAAAAAGTCGGATTTCTAAAATCCGAGTTTATAAGTAAAATCGGATTTAGGAAATCCAATTTAGTAGGAAGGCCGGATTTCAAGAATCCGACTTTTTGCCAGCTAATAACGTCCATTCAATGCCGATATCTACTGTTAGGTATGCTTAAATAAGGTCGGATTTTGTAAATCTGACCTTGTACTGTTCTTAATTTTCAAATCTCCCGCCTATATTTTTTTAATACAAATAAACAAGGTCGGATTCTAGGAATCCGACCTTTTACTGTTCATTATTTGACTTTCAATACATTTTTCTCACATGTATTTTCTGAAAAAAAAATTGTTATTTTATTAAATCGGATTCGTTAAATCCGAACTACTAATTTAATTAGTAGATCGGATTTACACATTTTGCTTTAAAAAAAAAAAAAGATATATAGATCTCTCTACTCCTTTTTCTAGTAGATTTTTTAACCAAAACACTAGGTTTATGATAGTTATTAAAACTTCAACGCTGATTGAGAAAATGTTAATCGGTTGTTGAAACTTGAAACGTTCCGTTCTCTTCTAAGCCATGGATCGATAAATAAATGTCTAAAATGACAATGGAGCTCATGAATGTGTAAATAGAAGTGAGCCTAAAGAAACAGCAGAGATATCATATCTTGTGTGCTTTACACGGCGACCAGACTTACAAAATTGAAGAAAAACCTTGGTTAAGAAATCACATCACCAGAAATCTCTGCACGAGCAGTTTCCATTCTTAAAATGGTGGAATCTGCTCAAATCCCGGACAACAATTTCCCGGTTTGTTATGCTACTAATAAATTTCAGGACAGTATGACAATCTCCACAAACTCTGAGATTCTTCACAATGCGTATGACTGCCCCAGGTATAGACTTCAGCAGTCCATAAGCCACAGCCAATCTTTCACTATGCCAAAAGAGTTGCCTTTCTTTCTCGTGTTGGTTCATATCTAGCAAAACAAAACTAGTATCAGGTACATAGCCCCTTTTCCTCATTTCGGCATCCAGTTCATTTAGCAGATCAAAAATCTCATCCTTCATTTGCTCCAATGACTCTCCAGCATAGAAAACCAGGCTCTCCTTTCCCAAATCGATGTAACTGTAGCCCGGTTCCCTTTTTGTTCCCATTTGTATCATCAACTTTCTTACCTTCGACACATTTTTCCAAAAACCAGCACCAGCATAAGTATTGGATAACAGTATGCAAGTTGCAGGATCTTTTGGTCCTAAACTAAGTATATGGTTGGCGATGCGAACTCCCATTTTGGTGTTCCTATGCTGTGTACATGCACTTAACAAAGCTGCCCATACAGCCTCATCAGGCTGGAATGGCATTCTTTTAAGGAGATCTTCTGCCTCAAAAAGATACCCTGATCGACTATACAGGTCCAGCAAGCATGTATAGTGTCGCAGAGAAGGTTTCATACCATAGTCCTTGATCATCAATTCAAACAGTGCACGACCTCTTTCTACCAATCCCACATGACTACAAGCATAAACTAGTCCTATAAAGGTCACCTCATTTGGCTTTACACCAGCTGAAATCATCTCATCATAAAGGGAGAGCGCTTCACTGCCCCGCCCATGCTGTGCCATACCAACTATGATAGATGTCCAAGAAACCACATCCTTCTTCCTCATATTATCAAAGATCTTCTTGGCAGCAGACAAATCACTGCATTTAGCATACATGTCCACAAGTGCATTAGTTAGAAACAAGCTAGAATCATAACCAAGAACTAAAATCAAGCAGTGGACTTGTTCTCCAAGCCCCAACGCTGCCAAACTAGCAGCAGCTCCAGATATGGACGATAAAACATAAGGGTCAGCAATTTCAACTCCTTCCCTTCTCATTTCAGCAAAAAGTTGAAATGCATCAGCATGATTTCCTGTCTGCACCAAACCAGATATCAAAGCAGTCCAAGCCTCTAAATTTTTCTTCTCTAACTTTTTGAACATTTCAATCGCCTCATATTTCTTACCACTCCTAGCATAACCAGATATCAAAGCAGTCCAACAAGCTGTACTTTTGGAAACAATTGTATCAAACACAAGGGAAGCCTTTTCAGGCAATCCATGTTTTGCATACATATCAACTAGAGATGATTTAGCAACATCATCGTGCGAAAATGTTGATTTTAAGAACTGGCAATGCACTTGTCGGCCTAACCCGTCATCACTGATCAGAGCACAAGCCTTTATGAGGCTCGCGAAAACAAAATGATCAGGCTGTAACCGATCAAGAGAGAACATACTGGAGAAGATGGAGATGGAGCGGTGGGGAAGGTTAGCTTGGTTTAGGGATGTCAAAATTGACGCCCAGGAGACCAAGTCTCTGCCGGGCATTTCTTCAAACAGTTTCAGGGCGTCTTCCAGGTAGCCGCATCTTCCATACAAATCCATCAAAACATTGCAGAAGCTTGGTAAATAGGAAACTATCCCAGTCTTCAGCATGTGGGCATGGATTTTTTGGCCTTCCAAAGGAGCTCGCAATTGTATGCATTGTTTTAGTCGGTAAAATAATTTACCTATCTCCATTAATCTTAGCTAAAACGTAAAGCCTTTCTCCAGAAATGGTTTCTCTTATCCCAATCAATGGGCATGAGTCCGAATTTAATGAATATCTATCGTAATTCATTTTCTTATGAATTTCTCGTACAATTTGATCAGAAGGTGACTGAATTTTCAGTTTAAATTTTCATTTCGGGACGGAAAGAGTACATCGTGGGGAAAAAAATAAAAGCAGCTATAACAAGAAAGAGGAGATGGAGAGTAAAAATGAACTTCAAAAAAAAAAAAAAAAAATCAAAACGCATCCAACATTTCAACAAATAACATTAAACAAAATTCTTTGCCATATAATAATCTGTACATCTCTTACAAAGCTCTTCAAGGAGATTCTCCCTAAAACAAAAAGTTTTGTTTTCAGCAAACAAAAAGGAAAGTTTATGCTGCCACAAAAATTGATCATAACTTCTGCCAACAAAGATACTATCTTATTCGTTGAATCCTGCTAGTTCAAAGACGCGAGCAGTATGATCAATCGAAACAGAAACTAAGAAATTTCCATTGGCAGACACAGCAAGAGATTGAATGGCATCATCATGACCACTGAAAGTTCTTACGCAATCTCCCGAAAGACTGTCCCATATTCGTACTTTACCATCAACACTACCGGTAGCCAAAAATCTCGATGTACCCAACCATCTCAAGCAGGTGACTCCTTCCTGCCACACCAAAAACATACTACATTAGTTTAAAGGTCGGTACAGCAAATATAAAACCTGCATTGTATCTCAATTAGTTGTACAGTGACAAACAAAGGATAACCTCATGTTCACAGGTGCATCGAGCATTCAAATGCGGAAGATCCCATATAATGAGTTTCTTATCCATACTTCCAGTTGCAGCCCATGGAGAGCTGCAAGTCAAGGTTAAGATCAAGGAAAGCAGTTTAGAAGCTATGATTCATGTAATCAATACGCATGATTACAAATAATTAACTCATATATGCTTAAGCAAAACAGTATGCAAGACTTCAAAATATATTTCAAGACTGCTGCCATCTCTTCTAATGACGGACATGTTTCACTCATAGTATATATCAAAGACATGCTTATTTACCCAATATTGATGCTAGAGAAAAATAAAAGTTGGATAAATGTTTGATGACTGTGCTTTATGCAAGAAGTGCTTTTGTACAACGGATTGGCACCCTCCAACACCTCACCCAGAAACAAATAACAGCATCAAACACAGTGGTCGTATTCAAAGAGAACACACCCATCCTCGTCTTAACAATAAATTAGGAGTAAACAAGGAACACTCAAAAAAGGAGAGTAACCGATGTCACAAGTAGGACAAACCTTGATGACGCAAACCCAACACATTCAATAGAATCAGAATGACCAATTAGTGAACCAACAACCTGTAAAATACCATAGAAAATACAATATAAATAAAACTAAAATGGAATCTACATATATTAACAAAAGATAAAACTAAAAGTCAAGCATGCATAATAGAAGGATTAAGGAGTAGAACCTGTCCTGTTGCTATATTCACTAAACAAACAGAGCCGTCCTTTGCACCGGTAAGAGCAAGGGTAGAATCAGAACTAAAACTCAAGCATGTCAACCCTTCAGTGTGATAGCCATGGCCTTAAAATGATAAAAGAAACTCATTAGAGGTTGACAAAAAAATATTTACAAGCTATATATTACATGACGTAAGTTAATAAAACAAAGGAGTGGCTACAAAAAGAGGCCATCAAACACATACACTTGCATTTGCTAACAGATCAGACGTCAACATCTTAAGGATGAATAACGCGTGAGGAGTGCATGAAATCATTGACACGCTAAAGCATGAATTCATTTCTCGTATCATTATTCCTTCAGGGATGCAATAAGATCACGTTCTTTCGTTTCTTGGGTTCTTGTGTATAATATAGTACATTTGGTTTCTAATCTTAAACCAAAATTAATACCCACTAGAAACATCCATGGGATGGTTAGTAGGTGGCAGATACCCACTAGATAAAAAGTCGTCCTTTCAAAGGACATCCTTTGAATGTCAATAAAGTCAACAGTCACATACAAAGTCCAAGTTAGATTCTTTCTTTATTACATGTTCCAATGTTAAAATAACCAGTGCACTAGCAACAGTGTTTCTATAAGCAAATGAGAGCATAGAATCAGCACAGCCAGGCAAGCATAATAGTTTTCTGAAAGGAAGAGATAATAACTTAGACACCTAAATTATTCAGAAGACGAATCATTTCCAAAATCATTCATTTCTATAAATTCTACACAAGATCTATAACGATACAAGATCTGCAGAATAGAAAATGAAATATTCATACCTCCAACAACATGGGCAGTTTGTCCACTTACGGGGTTCCATATCCTCAAAGTTGCATCATCAGAGCCAGTGCAAATTGATTTACCTTTAAGATGCAATTATTGGAATCAGAAGGAAGTTATATATTCACTCCACGAAACAAGAATGAATGCTGCACTAACAAATTTACCGTCTGGGGTGAAATCACCACAGGTAACAGTATTATTATGCCCAGCAAACATGTTAAGGAAAAGCCCATTGTCAGCATTCCACATCCACACCGTGGAATCCTCAGAACCAGCCAAGACTAAATGTCCCCTCGGGTGCCACTTAACCCACTGTAGAGAATCATATGTTCATATTCATAACACAAACAAACCAGAAAATAAAAAATCCATTAAACGAATTCAATTTATACCTCAATACCCCCTCCTGCGCCCTCAAATGTGTACCTCAGACTCTGCGGCGAGATATTCCAAACTTTTACTACTCCGTCGAGGCCCCCCGATGCAAGTAATTTACCATCGCTGCTAAATCCCAAACTAGAAACTGAATCAGTATGACCTGCAAACAGGCATTTCCAGTTTCGACTTCCACATTAGAGCAAAGTTGACATAACAAATGTTCTCAAAGAAAAAGCTGAATTGATGAAGGTAACATTCACATATTTCACGAGTACCTTGTAACTCAAAAGCCCAATCTCCTTGACCAATATTCCAAAGAAATCCTTTATCATCTCCAGCCCCTGTGGCCACTAAATTAGGATCAGTTGGACTGCATGCAACGGTATACAGTTCACCTGAAATGTCAAGTGAAGGAGCAGTTAGGTACTAATGGATATAAAAATAGTATTATGATGCATTTCAGAAGCCACAAATATCGGTTTCCACTTTTATCTAACTGAGATAATAAACAGTAATATGAAGAAACAAATCATCTCCAAACTATCATAAACATTTCTAATTACAAAAAGAATTAATGTGCAAAAATCAGACAAGACAGAATTTCGGAATAGAATTTTATAAAAGTTTCAATCAGCACGACAGATATGGAAACTAATAGCACATATTTCCAACATTTCATAAGTTATTTCTCAAATTCAAAACCTGAACTTACATAACACACGCAGAATAAGTTATCAGAAGTAACTACATGGAACTTATCTTCAAGCATAAACAAGCAATTACTATGTTGCATGATATAATCTCTTTCATACGATGTGAAACCACCTATCTCTAAATTGCACAGGCACAGTACATCACCCCCAATTGAATGGTCATCATCTCAAAATTGTAGAGGCAATTTAATTATGCTTTGAAAAAACTGAAAAATCAGTCTCTATTTAAATCAGAAATTTGAAATTTGGTCTAATCCATACAGAACTAGGATCTCAAAGAATCATTGTCAATAGCTACTCAACAGTTCTTGATTTACTTTCTCGATTTTACAGCCACTATATACATTTTTTGTTCCCCATATCTGATAGTGATTCCGAATACTCAAACAACATCAACTTAAGAATTGCCGTCATGTTCTCAATTTATTAGCATCAGGAAAATTAATATAATGAGCTGCAGAAGTTTGCGTCCATTTTGTTGGGGACAGGAAGGTAGAATATTCAGTAACGAACGCAATCACTTGTCGCTTTAAATAATCAAGGAAATATACAGCCATACTCATAGACCGCGAAAGAAATTAAACTACACCACATTACATTGCATAGGGGTAAGAAGCCTTGTCATGTGGTCACTTGAGATTTTAACAGAATTTCAACTATGACTTTCTAGTCTATTCTAAATTGTAGTTGCACAATTCCGAGACCAAACTGCCTTGCAAACCATTTTAACCCCACGAAGGCTCATAGCCGCTGAAATACAGTAAAAAAGACTTATCTTTTCCGTCCAGATAACCCTCAACACCAAGAGCATCACCTCCGAAGATAGGAACGCACTGATTTTACACTAAACCTTGAAACTCACCTAAAAGATTTTTCAGCGACTAAAAACAAATCAAAAGCACGTTCTCAATATTGTACTTTTAAAATGAAGAGGCCACAAGTTGAGATAAAAACTTTCCTTTTTTATTGTTATCTCAATTTTAATGTTGGCAGTGAATGGTCATCTTTTACTTAAGTAAAAATCTGATCATAAATTTAAGTTTTTATTTCAACATCAAATTGTAGAACAGTTAGGCTTCAAAGAGGTGTTAAAATTATGTAGAGGTCATACTCGTGTCTAGAAATTTTAGGTAGCTCTCATGTTACTACTACATCTCTAAATAAATTGACAGAACATGCACGCTGAACATCAGTAACTAAAAGCGAAGAATACAGATAACTGAAACTCAACAGCATAATAGGTTGATAAGCTAAGTATTCAAAAACCCAACAATCCAAAAGTATTAACCATGTCCACATGTCTGAATACAGAAATTTTAGTAGCCATTAGGTCGTGAAGAGTCACAAGAAAGGTGCATTATGCTTCAAATTTTCTTGTAAAAGAAAGAACTAGATTCCTTAACGTGATAGTCTTTCAACTTAAATCATAAGCAACGATAACAAAGAAAATACTCAAATATAGAATGCAAAAGTACGAGGCGAGAATCCCATACCAGTATGACCCGTGAATATGTGAACCGAGTCATCAGGTTCATCTGAAACCAACAGAGACAAAAGGTAGTACAGCAACATATTAGAAGACATTACATTGTCAGAAGAAACGTATTATCTCAATTCCACAAACTCATAAAAGAAAATTTCTTCATCATAAAGAATAAACCCTTTAATCCAACAACTAAGACTACCCCGACAGCATAAAACATAACCTTCAAGAATGAAATGGTGATCCCCTAATTCACATATCAAACAAAAACCAAATTGCATGAAATCTTTTAGTGGGATAGCATGATGAAAGATTAACAAATATTAATGAAAATAAGATGTAGTATATTTTAAATAAAATGAATAAAGAGATAGTAATCAATCCTGACAGTCCCTATATAAACACTTTAAACATCAAACATCAGATTACAAAAGTAGATTACTCAGACCCCAGAAGAATAATTAATCTAAAGTAACCACATATCCAAATGAAAATTGGAAACTTCAAACTTTACCTGGTGCTTCAGCATCAGAACCTTCCTCATCATCAATGTCCGGAAGCTCTGCAACAAAATAAAGATAAAAAAAGGAAGAGCCTTCACAAACCCAGAAGAGAAATCAAGAAAAGTAAAAAATTGGTATGAACACATTAAGTAAAGAGGTAAAATTAATCTAAAAGCACCATGATTCTATTAACAATAAAGGGACTAGAAAGAAAGTAGAAAAAGAACCTTCTTCGTCAACTGGGATTTCCTGAATAATATCATTTTCATCAAGGAAAACTTCTTCCCCTGCATCTTCTTCTTCTAATTGGTCATCATGATGACCAGCTCCAGCAGAGGAGTTCATGGCAGACTTCGCTTTGGTAAATACAGAAGGAGGCGTTCGTGTCAACTATGGAAGTAATAAAAGAAAAAGAAAAAAGAGGCAAAAGTACATACAAATGTGTGAATTCGTGTCTTTGGAAGGGCTTTTCCAGTTTCGGCGAGCTTTTTCAGTTTAGGCTTTTGGGCCTTAATTCGTTTTTTTCCCTTACTTTTTAAAATGATTAAATACTAAAGGAAGTATTTTCACCATTCTATTCTAATTCTTATAATTCATTCTTTAATATTTTAATTAATACTTTCTCCGTCTCACAAAAATAATTCACATTGAATTTTAAGTTGTACAAATTTAAAAACTTAATGTGAACTATTTTTGTGGGACGAAAGTAGTACATTTTTGTTGCAATACGAAAACAGAAGAGGGTGTTTTTTTGTGTGTGGAAATCGATATTTACTTTCATAATAAAAGAAAAGCGCAAAAAACATATACAAAGTGATTCGAGCTATTACAGAGCCTTAAACACTTCATCTAACTACAATGACACACTATTCTCGATTTCGTGTACAGTTCATTATATAAAGTTATATTAGCGAGATTGTGACATTGAATTTCATTAATTTCTAATGAATAAGAATTTACAGGCTCAAAAATATGACTTAAGTAAAAAAATATACTCACTATATCTCAAAATTATTGTTTAATTTGGGATTTACATTTAAGAATACTTTACACTAAAAATAAAAACCAAACTGAACAATAATTTCGGGACGAAATGAGTACTCGATAATAAAATTTTTCTTCCCTGTGACAAGTAATCATGATCTCGTAGCTTGTTTTTGCTTTTTGTCTTTTGAAGATATATATATATATATATATATATATATTGTAGAAATTAGGTTGGTTTGCTATGCCATAAAATTATGTGAATGGGAACCGACAATGTTTTCATTTTAAATATTACTCTTTTTGTCTCAAAAAAAAAATAATAATTCACAATGACTTTTAAAATTTGCGTTAAACAGAAGGACTAAAAGAGTACTAATTAAATCCTAACATCGTACAATTTTGATCTATTATCATATTAACTCTAGATTCACTATACAATATATAAAAGATCTATAAATTAATACACTTGTAACCTCAGAAACTTATTAATTTATAGAATTATTAATTTTTTTTGGATACAAAAAAGGAGGCCAAAACCTAGAGTTGTGGCATTACAACATTCCATGGGTACGAGACACCCACCATATCATGCCATAACACACGGGTTTATTAATTTGATTATTAATTTAAAGAATTTTTTAATCCTATTAATCAAAAAATATATTTTTTTACATCAAGAATAGTCAGTTGTAACCCTATTTACATTATCATAATTCTTATAATAGAATAAAAAGATAATAATTACAAATATCAAATAATACTTAAGTTAAAATCTAAATTACTTTTCAAATTTAATTTTTTATTCTAAGTATTTATCAATTTATGAAATTGTGAGGATCTACATTTATATAGGAGATTCTTGAAAACTTATTATCTTATAAATTAGAAAAATGATTTGTATAATAACAATAAATAGTGAAATGAGATAGTAAATGATGCGTCTCACATGCAATTACACTATTAAGCTTTGTTAGTAGGTAGTTACTATAATTAGAAACTGGTGATTTTGTCTTTTCATTAGTCACTACTCCCTTCGTCCCAGAAAAATAGTCCAGTTTGAAAATTTATAACTTTTTTAATTTTGTCAACACACCAAATATACAACTTATTTTATGATCCTAACTTTCACTAGTGCCCCTTCTAGTTATTTCTATTAAAGTTAACTACATATGCATTTCTTTTCCAACTTAAATTTGATCAAAATTTTTATCTCAAAAAATATTGACAATGGATATTGATGGAAAGATCCCGTTACGTAGATTAATTTGATATATAACATATTTTTTAATTATTCATGTATTAAAAGATATAATCATTTAAAAACTAGGAGAAAACTAAAAAAAATGAAAATCAAAGGAAGTGGGCCTTGTTTTCCTTACCATTACTCTTTTGGATATTTAAGTCATTTCAATTCAACTAATTTTGACTTTTGTGAAACTGGACCATTATTTTTGGGAAAACTTTTTTATTAAACTGGACCATTGTTGTGGTATGGAGGGAATATTATTTTTTATTTTTTGTACCGGTCCCGAGTTGGGACCGATGAAAATCTTACTATATATTAAGGGAATTTTTCTAACAAGACACATGTAAGTTAATTAGATCATTCTTAATCTCCAATTACACGTGTCGTATACCCATTCGTTAATATCTTTATGTAGTTTAGGTGTCAACAATTTATTGGCTCTAACACTTTACTGAGCTTTTTACTGCACTTCATAATAGTAAAATAGTTATGATTATGTAAAAATTAATTTTTTTTAACATATGATCGGTTTTTCTTTTACAATGATCAATCGAGAATCATCCCATCCAAAAAACCTGTCAAATATGTCCGGCGATTTCATCTGCTGTCATGACCAAAAACATCATCCAAACTTGATGTAATCATCCGTTCAGTGCCGTCGAAATCATCACCGAATTATACCCGCTTCATATCCAGAATCGAATATGTTTCTCTACTGATTGATTACTTGAAATGGATTGTACACATGCTTCACATGAAGCATTTAAATCTCGATTTCCATATTGATCGACTCCTTCACCGACTGACTATATTATCCTTCCCCGGCTGATGATTAATATGCACCCTTCTTTCAACGCCTGTCGGTATTCTCCTTCGCCAACGCCGTCTGACATTCTTCCTCACCTGCTGACTCAATTTGGCTAGACTCTGGTTGTAATCCGATGAAACCGATATGAATTCGCATTCATTCGGAAATCTTTCTTATCATGAATCGCGGTCAATTCCCGTAATTTTTGGAATTTCCTAATTTTATATCCGGCTAAGATTGAACCATTGTAAATTAACTGGCATTTATTCAGATTTACGCATTGTTTCAAAATTTACAATTCGATAAAATGTCCATATCTTAAGTGATTGGAATCAAGCTTTAAAATTGGAACTAGATGTTAAACCAGCGCGATGCACGGGGTTTATTTATATACATTATAAAAAATTCAAAAAAAAATTAAAAAGTGTAAAATGTATCTGGAGTCCATATTAAGATACATTACACAACTAAAATTAAATAAAGGCGTAATTGTAAAGATAAAATAATGCATATCATTTGAAATGCAAGTGTTTACTTGATTTTTATTGAAGGAGAAGAACTGGACAATAACACTCATAAGCAGAGTAAAATAAATAAGATTGTATTAATGTTACATATTGAATGAAAACATAAAATGATTATACGCGTAAAATACATAATGAAGTAATTATCAATAGTAGATGGTAGATTAGGTGTGAGAAGTGTAAAGTTCAAAATTTTATGGTTATTTTGTTGTAATTAAAGATTATATGGTACTGTTTGGCCCAATACTTAATATTTTAGAGCAACAAACCAACTGTAGAGTTAAAATTTTTGCCCTTTAATCTCTTTTTGCCATGACAATAGAAAATAATAATTAATGAAATAATGAAATTATGGGTAAAAAACATAAATTTAGTAACGTCTAAAAAGAACTCTAAAACATCATTTTGTAGAAGAATATACGGAAAAAAAATTATATATAACCTTAATTAACCATTACCTCCCACGCCACATGATCGACCCACTATTAGTTCATCACTTTCAGAACAACAAACCAACTGCAGGGCTAAAGTTTTTGCCCTTTCATCTTTGGATTTCGGATTGTTTTGGGGAGGGGGAAATTTTTGCAGCACTGGAACATACTCATGGTTTGTGTGGCATGTATAAATAGAGATAAATTGGGATTGATGATAATTGATTATCCAAAATTTCAGTGATAAAGATAAAATTTATTACAATTTTTGAGATATTATTAAAGAAAGATTATATTTATTTGGGTAGATATGATATTACACAAATAAATACATTGGTTTGAAATTCAAAAGATAACATTTAATTATAGTTAAATCCCATCCTTTTAGTAATAATTGAAGGTAAATTTTGTACCTTTTTTTTTCTTTTTTATTGACGAAAAATACATGGTCATGTTTTTGGGAGAAGATTTTAAAGATAACATTAATGTTGAATGATTAGTATTTTTTTTTTTTTGAATTGTAGTCTATTGATTTACATGATTGGGAGAGAGATTTTTTTTTAGAGAGATTAATTAAATGAGTCCATTGTAAATTAACTGGCATTTATTCGAATTTACGAATTGTTTCAAAATTTACAATTCGATAAAATGTCCATATCTTAAGTGATTGAAATCAAGCTTTAAAATTGGAATTGATCCGATAAAATGTACATATGTTAAGTGATTGGAATGAGAGGTACGCATTGTTACTGTTTTATGGACATTATCGATTGACCGAAATTACCTCCATTATCGTTTATAAGCATATAAAAACTTAGTTTAATAATTTATTAAATATGGCATGTTATTAAAAATAGAATTTCATCTATAATAGCTCCGATTTTAAAAAGTCGTTTTTTAAGTTTTATCCTAATCGAAGCAATCAAAATGTAAATTAATTTTTTTAATTTGTGAAAAATGGTATAAGGAAGTTGCTTTGGAGAATGATTCGATTTGCACCTTGTGCGATCAAAGTGTATTTCTGAAAAATGATATAATGAGGGTTGCTTTGGGGGAATGATTCGATTTGGGATAATAACATCTCCCCAATTTTAGTTCCAACAACACGCTGCAATTCAAGCCCCAAAATCTGCTCGGATAATGGCTTCCTCAACATATATTCTTCACCATGCTCTCCGCCTCCGCTACTACTTCTTCTTTGATTCAGCGGCATGGGAAGCGGGAACAACAATTTTACAAACCTGATCCTGGATGGTATGTCTTCTCTACCACGCAGCAACGGGGGGCATCGGAAGAACCAATGTTAGTTTTTTGACTTCTTTTTTTTCACTTTATATTGATCCACAGAGAACAATGTGGTGAAGAGACAATTTCGTTTGTCTAGAACTTGATCAGCCTGGCGGGGTGTCCGACGAATTCATTGGAGGCAGAAAACTAAGGGTTTGGATTCTGCTCTAAGTTTACAAAAATTTGAGGTACATACAACACTGAATTTGTATGTTTTTTTTGGTTTTTTCCATATCCTCCGTTAACCGCGATTGATTCATTTTCTTTGTTCTTTGATCCCTTTTTGATCAACGCATCATCAACACATTCCACACAAAACACTTCAAAGACCATATAGCCATGATGTCATCCAATTTCTCCTGTCAAAACAATTCCGGTAAGGAAGTGATGAGTAAGAGACTGGATCCTTTCCATGAACTCTTTGCTAATGCTTTCTAATTTGAGGTAAATCGTTGATTTTCTTATGTATCTTTCTGCTAAATTAGTTGAAGATGAATCATTGAACAGAGATGATGTTAATGCTATAGTTGTTTTGTGTAAGTAGCCCGTTTCCATTTCTTTCTGCTGGTTTTTCAAACTTTATTCGGGAGGATTTAGGCATTTAGTTTCTGTTGGTGATTTACAGTATGGAGCCGTGGAGCGGGATACGTACAGCGGGTAAAATGAAATCCTCAGAGGCTTTCAGCATATTATTTCCTTCTTGAGAAATGGATAGATATGATCCCTATGTAGGTTTAAGTTGATTTTCCTTTTATTTTGGTTCTTTTTTTCTTTGATTTAGCTTGGATTGAAGATTCCGGTTATGACTACTGAACTCAGTGTTCCTCATGATCAATCCCATTCTGCCACCCAAGATCAGAATGTGAGATTATTGTTATGATTTTTGTAACTTTGGTTATGAGTATTGCTTTCAAGTTCCTGAATTTTTATTTTCGCTTTGGTTATTAATTTGAAATTGTTGTAATGATTTTTGCTTGATAATTCGATTTACTTCTATATTTTCAAGAGAAGGAAAAAATAGTGATGCTTGGTAGCTTAATTACTACTCTGGCTCCCCTCCCCCTCTTTGTTTTTCGTTTTTCCAGAAAAATTTCAACCGAACATGTAGGCCGCCGACCTCAACGAGATTTGGTTTGACTTAATTTTAATTATATTCTTCCTCTTTATGATTTTTTATATGGTATCAATCGCGTACTTGGTTAGGACACAGCTGAACTTGGTGATTGGTTTTTCTTTGTAATCATCGGACGGCGATATACAGGGATAGCAGGTTTGTGGTGTATCAGGCTTAAGCATTTTTGTTTTAGGCAATTGTTGTAAATGATTATTTTTTTTCATTCGTTTTTTTTTATCCTTAATTTATTAAAATCATTTTTCTAATGACACATGTTTTGTATACTTATTTTTTTCCCTTGACAGCTCGAACGTGCAAGAACGATTTGTAGAATCCGTCAGTTTTATTTTATCCTTAATTTATTAAAATAATTTTTCTGTCGGTACATGTTTTGTATACCTATTATTTTTTCCTTGACAGCTTGAACCTCATAACTTAGGATCTGCAAGAACAATTTATGGAATCCGTTTAAGCCGTTGGATTAAGCCGTGCCGCTGCCTCCAAAGAAATGTTTTATTTTATCTCCTCGAACATGTTATACTTGACTAAGGTTTTCAATTTAGCATTTGAATAGAATGGTTTTATTGCTTACATTGAAAATTATTTATGTGTTGACTTATTATGGAAATAAGTAAAGATTTTATACAGTTCGGATTGATTAGCAATTATTATGATTGAATCAAATCTTCATATATATTAAAAGAACTTTTTCTAAAAGACACGTCAATTAAACCAACCATCAATAATTTTTGTGGTACATGGAATATGCAAAGTGACATACTATTAAAAGTGAAAAATGAAGATGGATTAACAGCTACTTCTTTTTTTTTTCTTCTTTTTTTTTTGATTTAACGAGGTGTCAAAAATATAAAAATAGCAGATAAAACCATTACAATTTTTTAACCTACCAAGACTTGGAACCTTTTAAGTGAGATGACACAGAGTGACATATTGTTAAGGATAAAAATGAAGAGATGGAATAAGACCCACCAGTTCCTTTTCTTTCTTGGGTTCAACGGGCTGTTATAAATACTAAAATAACAACTAAAACCATTGCATATTTTTAACTTACTAAAAACAAAAGATAAAAATGAAGATGGAATGAGACACACCGGTTCTTTTTCTTTTTTTGGTTCAACGGGCTATTATAAATACTAAAATAGCAGCTAAAATCATTGCATATTTTTAACCTACCAAAAACATGGAACCTTTAAGCAGAGTGACATGATGTTAAAAATGTAAATTAATATGGAATGAGACTCGCCGATTTTTTATTTTTTTCAACGGATTTGTTAAAAATACTAAACTGTTAATTTATTGATATGTATTATCTTTAAACAAATAGTTCTTACTTATTCTTCTGTTTTTTTTCTTTTGGGTACAACGGGGTGCCAAAAATACTAAAATAGCAGTCAAAATCGTTTCAGGTATTTAACCTACCTAAGGCTAAGAACTTTTAAGTAGGACGATGCAGAGTAACATGCTATTAAAGATAAAAATGAAGATCGAATGAGACCTTCTGTTTTATTTTAGTTTAACAGACTGTCAGAAATACTTAAATAACAAAATTTTAGTTTTCTTTGCATTTAGTTTTTAGTGGGCTGTCAAATATACTAACATAGCAAAGTCCTCTTTTAGATTCAATTTCAATAGTACTTTTTTGTTGTTATTCTTTTTTATATTTACGTGCTTTTATGTATTCTAGATTAAACTGGATTGAATTGTCTGATTAATTTTTTCTCGATATGTTGCCATTGGTGGCACCTCAATCACCTAGCACTTTTGCAGGTTTCTAACCTACCAAAAAATATGGAATCTTTATAGTACAACGTTATAAAGTGATATACTGTTAAAGATAAAAATGAAGATGGAATGAGACCTTCAAGTTTTTCTTCTTATTTATTTTTTAACAGGCAATAAAAAATACTTAAATACAAGCCACAATTATTGCAGATTTTTAACCTACTAAAGATTAAAAAAATTTTAAGAAGAACGTTGCAGAATATCATACTGTTAAAGATGAAAATGATTATGGAGTGATTCTTTTTCTTTTTCTTTCGTCTTTTTTTGTTTGTTCCACAGGCCGCCAAAAAGACTAAAATATCAGTCAATACTATTCAATGTTTTTAACCTACTAAAGACTCATACCTTTTAAAAAAGACGATGTAGAACGACATGCTGGTAAAGATGAAAATGAAGATGAAACGAGACCCGTCGGAAAGTGGTCCTTTCATAATTAGATGACACTCATGGAAAATATATAATTCCTGATATGTTGCTTATAGAAGTATTGCTTTTTTTCAATACATTTTTTAATAATGACACAAATGCTTTGAATTTTTGTATATACCCTTAATTTTTTGTTTTATCTTATTTATAAACAAAACTAATATTTCTTATACACCTTCGTTTTTTTCTTATCTGTTGAAATTATATACTCATATTTAACGTAAAAAATTATTGGATAATTTAATTCTAATTTATTCACCGTGCACCACACAGATACAACACTAGTATTATTTAATAGAACTTATTAATAGAGAATTAATTTATAGAGGTTTTACTGCAAATGTTTCAGCTTTTCTAGTTTCTCCCATTCACTACCTTTTATTTGTTAACGTGATCGTTGATCTTCTTCACTCATTCTAGTATATAGTCTTTTTTTTAAGACTTAGAAACTCGGAATGAGAAAAATGTGAACAGTAAGGAAAAGGGCTTGAACGGTTGTGTTTTTTATTCAATCTTACAAATGTTCACAAAAACTGCTTTCAATTGACTTATCCAACAATAAGATTAAATGGAAGCATTCCTCCAAGAATCTTTCAGCTTTCAAGTTTAAGCAATTTTTTGAATCTTTCTTTCAATGGCAATTTGCCAAAAGAAATTGGGCTACTAGAAGATGTTGTCACAATCGACATATCGGAATTATCAGGCAATATTCCCAAGTCAATTGGAAACTGCAAGAGCTTTGAAAAATATAATACTGGCTAAAAATTCACTTTCTGGCCAGGTCCTAGAGGGTTTAGGGGATGTCAAAGGATTGGAAAATCCGGACCTTTCATCAACACAACTCTCTGGTGTTGTTCTATTTGATCTTCAAAATTTTTAGGCACTTCAATTTTTAAATCTTTCTTTCAACAACTTGGAAGGAAGAATTGTAGCTTATCGCTCTAAAGTTCATTTAGATGGAAACAAAAATCTCTGCCTACAAAATATTGAGAATCTCAGTCCCAAATTGGTGCTGAAAGAGACTGAATATTAATATATAAGTATATGAGAGACTCCCATCAGGGTCAATTGGTTTCGAGATGGAATCCATGGATTTTTGTATAGTATCAGAGTCAACCTACCAACATTTGGACTCCAAAAAACTGAATGTAATAAAACTAGTAGGCTGAGACATGAGAAGGGAGTATTGAGATTCCCAGTCCCACATCGGTATTCGAAAAGACTAAATATCAATATATAAGTAAACAGGAAACTTCGCTCATGGTTAATTGGTTTTTAAAAGGTTTGTCCACAAAATTTTTAAAAGGTTTATTTTTGTCCAAGTATACATAAGGAAATACATTTAAGGAAAAAATTCAACAAAATTGAAAACAAAAGAGAAAAACATAATAATAACAAAATTGAAAACAAAAGAGAAAAAATCAATTAAAGAAACATTTAGCAAGGTGTGAGGTATCTTATCTGATAAGTACCTACAAGGCTACAACCAGGAGAATTACTCATTGTTACCATGTGTAAAGAAAAAATAATATAGAATCCACTTCTTCCATAAGAAACGACGAGCTTTTCATGCCCTTTTACCATAATTACTTCACTTCAACCAAGTTAAAAGTCAAATGTATACATATATGCACATAAAACTTATTACACATCTCAAATACAACACCGTCATTGCATATGAGAAAGATAGGTTATTCTTATGTCACTGCGATACTCAGAAAAATTCATATGGAAAATAGCTCACTTGTATAAATTTTGTATTTCTTTTTGGTATTTGGCTACAACTTTGTCTCGCTTGATTTTCATTGTTGGAGTCATCAAACCATCATCGATCTGAAACAATGTCAACATATAATTATACCGTTGTTTTCTGTTTGACAGAATGTATAGTGTCGACGAAACTGAAACGATAAACTTACTGTGAATGGCTCATCAACAACTAAGATTGGTCCAACTTGAAACGAGCATTCCGACGTCCTAACAACAACAAAAGATATTGTAACAAGTTAATCTTTATTCCATATAGCCTTAAATGTCAAGAAAAACACATTCTAGATGCTACTTATTTAGTTGGCCAATGTCAATGCATTTATTTGACAACAGCCAACTAAATGACGATTATGAACTTGTCTCAATAGCACAACAAATTGCAAGAGATCTACTTTGATATGATACGAAAGCATATTGCATATGTAGAGGTTTGATAAAAGAATTAGAATTCAACCACACCATTTTCTTAGCTCTTCATATAACAAGTTGGTCAGCTTCTCCTTGCTGATTTCAGAGGCACCAGGATCTAAGATAGACAAGTTCTTTGCAGCTAAGATAACCTCTTCTTTGTTTGGCACAATGATAGCACCGAGACGACGTTGATCCTGCATATAATGAGTCCCATGTTATGCTACATTGAGAGATTAAAGGCACATTAGGAGAAAAATGTAAAACAACGGCTGATTTAACCTGGCCAACGACAACAATTTGTTGAATCAGAGTACTCCTACTTGCAGCTTCTTCAATCTCTGATGGTTCAACGTTTTCACCTGTCACTCAATTGATGTATCACTAGTTAAGACACTGCATCAAAGGAATGCAACCATTCAAGAAGTAGAGAAACAGAATCAACAAAAGCAAACGCCAGGTAGGCAGACATATGGATCCTTTCAGCTGCATTGGATCATATTAATGCTTCTTGTCCAACTCATAAAAGATGATGTCATATTGAGGACAAATACACTCCATCTTACTTTTGATCTGCCTCCAACTTCAGGTACCCAATGAACAATTTCCATTTTACCCTAAGTCCCTAACCAACTTATACTGTAGTCAACTTATTTGAATCTATCAATGATTGCTACAAACTTTTTCTCCAGGTTTTACTTTCCAAGTACTTACCTTAGTGACTTATTCCGAACCAGTATCATTCAGCTTTTAAACCTTTCCTAGATTGTTTCTGTTTCCACTAGGAAGCATTACACAACTAGACTTAGAATCACTATCTTAAGGAATGCTTACATTTCCAAGATTGTTTATTCTCCTTAACATCGGGAAAACATAGCCTGATTCTAACAGTATCCACCAGCTGCCATAACACAACTTTGAAACTCTAGCAAAAAGCTGAACTTACCTGTTGAAAGAACTATAGTATCCTTTGCGCGCCCTTCAAGAACAATTACACCGCCAGAATGACGACTTCTACCCACAGAGTGATGAGGTGCTATCCAACCAATATCACCAGTGTTAAGCCACCCACGCTCATCTATGGCTTGTTTTGTTGCCATCGAATTCTGAGAAACAGATTTAAATTTTGATTTTGAAAATACAAGAATATCATTCTAAAACAGAAAGGATGTAGTGAAACAAATTTAGAAACGAATAAAGTTTCACTACACCTATCGTGTGATAAAGAGATGAAATCATAGAAGCAACTACACAAATTAATTTAAACTAAACTCATGACAGCAAAGAGTTTCAACTTGATGTATATTGAATACGCAGAAAGCCCCTGGATTATCAATTGCTGTTGATAACTGACAGTCTACTATGGCATGAGCATTACCATTCATTTTGTAACCGATTTTTCTGGTAGTAATGCTTGACACCATCATGTTGCCATAAAACTCAGATAGAGAAGTACAAGTAAATTTCAAACAAGAGAGTGAAATAACTACAATGGATATTTAAATATTAGACCCCGTTACCAACATTCGGGCTAATGTAGACCTCTAATGGCTATTCATAAACTTTCCAGAAATAAATTGCATTAGAGTGACACCTTATAGTAACCCTTCATAACTTGTGGCCCCCTAACTTTGACAACGCCATTTAAACCTGGAGGAAGATCTTCATCTGTTTCAGCATCAACAACTTTTATTTCTGTATGTCGGATGGGATGCCCAATAGAGCCTAGAACCTTCAAAGGTTAAAACTTTTGTTAGACTTCTAATAAAAATAAGTGAACTACTCCAGGAAAAATACACATAAATGCAACCATAAGTAGCCAATCTGTCTTCCTTCAAAGAGAATTTACAAATAAATGCATCTGAGAAACATTAAAGAAAGATGTATTTCTATTAGATATACTAATCAAACATAAATGCTTCCCCCCCCCCCCCCCCCACCACTGCCCCACACACACACACCCACCAAATCGAATACATCAAATGCAACAATGCATATTGCGCCGTGCTTAAACAGCATCTCTGTATTGAAATACAGGGGTAAGGTTGGATACATGTAGAAACCCCCAACAAACCGAATACATCAAATGCAACACTGCATATTGCACCGTACTTAAACAGCATCTCTGCATTGAAATGCAGGGGTGAGGTTGGATACATGTTGAACCTACAGACCACAAAGAAGTTGGAAAGGTACTGGGTATGTTATTATGGTCACGGTAAACACCCCTTTAAAGAGTAGTGGATCACTAATGATCTAAATAATACCTATCAGATAAGAGAAACTTCATGCATTTACTTATTGTCCCAGCTGATGTGCCAAATGCAGCAAACACCTATCAGTTAGCACATGTACTCTAAACTTCAGACACTGAAAACACATCCACAGGAGGGGAGGAATTGGGGGGGGTAGGATGGGGAGAGGGGTTTAACACTCTTACGTTGCAGTTTGGACGTCGAGCAGCAACAACTGGTGATGACTCTGTTAAACCATAACCATTCTGAACTTTAATCTCTATGGCCTGCAGGTATCAAAATGAGACCCTGATAGAAAGGGAAGGTTCTTGATACAGCTAGTAAAGAATGGAAAGTACAAAACCTCAAAAAATCTGTCAACATGCGAAGGTAGACTGCCTCCTCCACTTATGCCTGCCTGCAGATCATCAAAGAAAGCTCTAATTTCAGTTACCAACAAATGGAGAAACTCAGGACATAATGTGAGAATGGGAATATAATTGAACTTCATAAGCATGAGAACCAGAAAAACCTTTGAAATACCAATTGCAGCATGAATTTTACTGTAAACTATTTTCTTAGCCAATAGATGTAGTGGCCTTAATATTGCACCCAGGATGCTTGCACGTAACAAGTCCAAGATGGAGAATATGTTTGATGGCGCTTCTCGTGATCTTGTAAGATACTTTCCCTTCAGAAAATAGAAGTAGACATAAAGATCGACGTCAGAGAAAATAATGCACGACATAGTGATAGAAGAAACTTAGAAGTGGTGTAACACAACAAGACAATTAAGACCTACAAACAACAATATTAGCTAAAGGGCTCTGTTGAACCATGACTCTACTAACTAACTTCGCAGATCCTCAACCGTTGTAGCACACAAATGTTAAGGACTTTCGGCATGATGAACTCCATTAATGTACGTTAGAGACAGATTTATGAGAATAGTGAGATGGGAATAGCTTTATCTGTTCATGAAAATGCTCAAGGATCTGTCAAATCTGTTAGCAGGAATACCTATCCTTGCATATCAACGAAAACAATCACACGCCATATTGCTTGATTATGAAGCATACAAGAAAGAGTGCGAGAAATAAGTCATCAAGGATTTTCTACTTAGTTGTGTGCAAATTTTGTCAGGATCCAAAGAAGAAAATGATATGTTGAACAACTAAAAAGCAATTCATAAGTGTTTGTCGCCTAGACTCTTAAGTTTATTGCGAATTCCTGTTTTTAATCGCTGCTCTTATGGTTCATCTAAGCAAGTATAACTTTTGGTAATTTTCTCTAGATAGGAAATCCCATTGCACAGGATGAGTCAAAATTTTAATTGGTTTTATTTTTAGAGTCTATTAACAATGTACCTTCAATCACTAAGATCTAATTTCAGTAGAAGGTTCACTGATATTAACAATGTACCTTCAATCACTAAGATCTTATTTCAGCAGAAGGTTCACTGATATTTTCTTGCTTCAGCAGTTTTGACACTTCTCCGGGGAAGATGCTTAAAGCCCAGAGGGTCTCCCCATGACTCCATCTCATGCGGAAGGCATTCAAGAAATTTCCTAGAGAATCTTGTGTTTTTCTGCAATTCCCTCACAGTTCTCAGCTTTAGACTCAGTTTTCTGCCTTCCTAAAAGGCTAAAGAGTGTCCAAGATCTATTCTAGTAGAACATCAGCTTGTGCTACATCATATCAGTAGCACAAAAAGTACCAGCCTATACCTTGAGGTGCATCTGGAATCAGCTTTTCACTGTAGCAACACATTTAAGTCTACCACATGCTAACAAGTATTTTTACAAACACTATAACCATTTACGAAATCAGGTATAGAAATAGCTCCATACAGAATAAGCACTGTCCAAAAGGATTGATCGAAGTGCCACATAGACAAAACAAGAATAACGAAAAAGAAGAAAGAAAAGTTTTCAAACAAAGTTTAAAAAAAATAAAAAATTTATAATTAAAAAAAAAGAAAGAAAAAGTTTTCAAACAAAGTTATTGATCTCCTGGCCAGCTTATTTTTATTGCCTTAATTTGTTCACAATTCTGTATTTTAAGGAGAACCACAAATTTTGATAAGCTATTAGAGAGAAGCCAGTCTTGGATCTGATGCTAGGCTCCACTAGTAAAAACAACTAAAGAAAGTTACGTTTTTCACAATAAAAACACTATACTCAGCATATGATGATTGAGGTTGACTCACCTCATATATTCTCCTGAACTCCATGTATGCCATACTGATCCTTAAAAAAAGTAATGCAACGTGCTTACGAGCTATGGAGCTGGAGCTAATCTGCTTCTGAATTCCACTGTAGAACAAAAAAGATACATAGAGAGTCAGATGATTCAGCAAGGAAAGCACTGACCCAGAAACTCGAATATGAGATGCATGACTGATCAATACAGATGTACTTGGACAACTGATAACTAAACAAATATATATAATCCCATGGCATGGTAATCAGTAATACATTTTCTTAATTTCTCCAGCATTGTCTGAAATGTTCCTGCAGGATATCTAGTCCCATCATATAAAAGTAACAAAAACTAATAAATAATAATAATAAAATAAAATAAAATAAAAAAACTGATGACATGCTGTGTGCATATGAAACTGCATCAAGTCATGAAAATTATAAATAACCAAATGTGATTACTCGCCTGTAAAGGGTCTCAAAAACTAAGGGAACAGAGATAAGATAATGAGGTTGATAACGCCGCAAATCCTCCTGTGATAAAAATAGCTAAAATGTTCAGAAATAATCAGACATATTATAGTTTCTAATCATATAATTTTCTTCAGTACTTGTGAAGTTGTGTGAAGGGCGTATGATCATAAAGGAACTTGGAAAAACCTAAAATGAGGTACCTTTAAGTTTTTAACAGTGGTGTATACTTGCTCAATTCCATAAGTAAATATGAAATATTCGCAGCTCCGTTCATACACATGCCATGGCGGGAGCATGCTTAAAAATCTATCACCAGGAATAGCTGGCACAACGTCCCACAAATTTGTAATCTACAAGCAAGAAGACAAAGCAGAATCAGAAAAAAACCACAGATCATATCCACTCCAACGATTTTAACAACATCCAGTGGAAGTAAAATAAGAGAACTAGGAAACCACTCACGATCCAAATGTGATGGATAGCATTAATATTATGAACTTAGTAGCAATTTTACTGGCTTCAAAAATCCATATAAATCGTGCTTATCGATTTGTTTACAGGACATATGATTGATCAGATGCTATTTAGTTTTCTATTTTCCAAAGTCAAGATCTGCTCGAATAAGACCCCTATGATTTTCTCTAAAAATCTGGGCAGTCAAATAATGTAGGAGAGCTCCCTGAAAATCACATTGTGGAATTCTTGAATATGTATGGAAATTAATAGAGCAGTAAAAAGTTATCTAGGATGGACAGAAGCCAACTCTACTGAACATAGTTTTCAACCAATTATAGTACAGCAAAAATCTACTTCTTGGCTGGTTGCAGTGTAAAGAAGCATATTCAAAGCTGCAAAATGAGAATTCTGCGGCAGTCAATTGAAATGTTAAAGATAAACATGTTGCCACGTTCGCATTCTCATTTTCTTTCATGTTGGGTGCCATAAGATATCCAAAACGTCTCAAGTACATTTAGGGACCAACAAACCTAGAAAATGTTGATCTTTGTATACACTGGGCCACAATTTATTCCCTTTTGTATCTCACTAAACAAGGAAAGCCAGCAATTTATCAGATATTTGACACAATAAGTGCAATTATCCCCAAATTTACATGCCATTTCTGAATTGAAAATATGGACTTCCTAATTATACTGTAAGTATAAGCCACTCCTGATCAGTTCTTGTACGAAGAGTGGTCATGGCTAAGTGGAGAACCAAAATAAGGAAATGGGAAACAAAAAGAACCCAAAATTGACCTGGTGCAATAAATTACTATGCGTAAGCATGACTCCTTTTGGATTTCCTGTGGTTCCACTTGTATAAATGAGAGTAGCAACATCATCGGAGTTTATGGCTTCATAAGTATATTGTTGTCCTGAAATAAAATAAAATAGAAAAATGAAAAAGAAGAAGAAGAAGAAGAAGAAGAAGAAGAAGAAAGGTTAGAATCACTATTTCAGTCAACCTAAAGCTTCCAGAAGTACCATTACTCTTAATAGGTATCCAAGTACTCAACAATATACAAGTTTTAAGTAAACGAAAAAGCTAGTCAACATTAGGGCATTTCATTTATTAGTCAATATTAGCACATTTCATTTACTGAGCCAGAGTATTAGACTGATCCAATCTTCGGTATTTATCTTCTAAACAAAATACCAGTCATATTTAAAACTCCATTTCTCACAAAATATATATTCCACAAGATTAAGAATACATATTCCACAAGATTAAGAGCCTCGTTAAAGGCTGTCGTAGAATGCTCAGGCCAAAGTAGATAAGTTAACTGGCTCAAACCCGAACTCAAGAACTACCATCACATGACAATTGTTCCACCTTAGCATGCACACAGAGGTTGCTATATCCTCAATTCTAATGACACCTGAGATATCCCTGCTCCATAGAGACCAATATCACTGGTACATGGGACACACCATTAACTTTAGGAAAGTTAACTAGACTCCTTATTCACAGACTTCCATTCAATGAAAATTCTAGTGCGCGGGGGAACATGCCATCAGAATTTTTTATATTTTTATTTTATTTTATTTTTTTGAGTATGATTTAAACCAGGAATCTATAGAAGATGTTCATGAAGCACACATTTGCTAGCTGCCAATATAAATGAACTTACGAGCATCTTGGGAATGAAGCAAAGCTGCACGACTATCATGACCCTTATCTATGATCTCTTGGTAAGAGTACACTGGCACATCCTGTACTAGACTTGTGAGCCTTGATTTTTCTCCCCATAAGAGGATCACAAATCTTATAGTTGCTTTGGATGTAAAACCATTGGCAATGCGATTGTACATTTCAGGACTGTCCACCAAAAGCGCAACACTGGGGAAAAAAAAATGGCAAGACGCAATAAGAACAAAGTCCAAACAGTTCAAGAAGACTATAAAAAGTGCGATCAATGTTTAATATTTCACATAGAAAAAGGCCAATTCGGTAGCTTCAGATTAACAGTTCTCAGAAATCTATGTCCATGCAATACAAGCTATGTTGATGTTGGTGAATCCACCCAATGTAAAATGCATTTACTCACAAATCCAAAGTTTCAAATGTTGTTACAAACACGTATAGTGTCCAGAAGAAACATCTTAAATGAGAACCAGTTTTTTGCTTGCTTTAAAAATAGCACAACCAAAACTGAATGCAAACAGTACCAAACAGAAACAAAGACGTACTCTGTCCTCACTGAATAGAACAACCCAGGGAAGGTAAATGAAAATGGAGAATGTTCCCTTACCTGTCAGAATGGTTATATATCTGCAAAAGCTCATCAACTGATGATCTTGAACCCCTGACAACGTTAATTGCTCCAGTGGCCATAATACCTAGAGGAAACTTGAATCATGACAATATGAGTAATCAGAGTCTCAGACAACTAAAGAAATAAATAACTTGTCCATGTTCTAAATATGTGAGTTCTACAAAAATTTACGAGATTGCAAAATGTTTCCTCAAAAAACATTTTGACCACAATGTGGTCATATAGCACTTGGAACTAGCTTATGCCAAGTCATGGAAATATTAAAATAGTTGGCTATATCATGATTTCAAAAATTTACTTATGCATTGTTGTTAGAAAGATCATTCGGACTATGAAGGAAACCATTCCATTAACTTTGATATGGTAGCTGCTATTTTCTTTTCCCTTCCATTATAAGTAGAAAAATGGTTCTGATAAAAGTTACAAGTTTGGAATGTTATCATAATATTATGGAGTAAAAAGCTCCAACAAAAAGTCAGAACAGAAACCTAATCATTTCGACCAAGTATAAGTCAAATGTGATAGACGAGATCATGAAACTGCTCCAAATAGATTTTTGCCCCTAAAGCAATAAGAAGGAAGTTAGCCCCATTCCACAAACAGTATAAGCAAGATGGGGTTATAGAAAAGATTTCTCAAGGATATTTAAAAATAGAATATGGACTGCTCATTTATCCGATTCTCTAGTTAATGCATCACGTATTGTGTAGAAACGGCAAGCACAATTAATCAGAATGAATGAGAAAGGAAGGAAAATCATATTAGGGACATGAAGATGAATGAACATTAACAGAAACGGCTAGTTGGATTTGATAAGAGAAATAATAAACCCCCATTTCTACAGTTGACTAACGGACTCTGTTTACTGCCTCATGATCAAACCTTAACTTTCACTTTTAAAAACAAATTAGACAATTTCCATGTTTCCAGGGAGGATGCATGGATACCTTGATCTGCAACAAGCCATCGGCATGAGTTATCAGCAAAGAGTGCAAGCTTCTCACCAGGTTCTACGCCAATTGCTCTAATGCCTTCGGAGAAATTTATTATTTCCTGCTCAAGCTGCAAGTTCAAACTGGATCAGATGGTAGTCATCTAAGAAAGTCAAATTTCTGCTATGAATAGGAACAGTAGCCTAACACATATAACAATATCAAAACTCAAAAGGGCAGGTCAAACTTTTTTCCTATATAAATTTTTTTATTTTATTTTTTATTTTATTTTTTTTTTTATTATTATTATTATTATTATTTTTGCGTTTCTTCAGGCAAGATACCAGAAGGCGAAGAAAAGAAACATATTTCATTCTGAAGGAAAATTTCAAGCATTGCTCACAAACAGCCATATCCTTGTTAGTGATTTTGGTTGCCATTAATTTTAAGAGGTGCTCCAGTTTCTGTTGAGCTGATATTAATGTGCATAACAGTAGCATTGTGGTTTATGATCATACCCCATCTAAAAAAAATCATGGCTGTTGAACCAAAACAATTTCATAGCAATACGATGAAATGTTATAGGGAGAATAGTATATCAGTTCAGTTTCTTTTCTGCCCTACGGAGAAGTTACAAACGAACTTTACACCGTAAATTAAAAAACTTAGTCCATTCAGCCATGTTTCAGAAGCAAAACAACTAGTTCAACAACAGATAACAAACTACTCAATTCTTCCTACAATCTACTATTTTTACTAGCATTCTCATCCAATATGAAACTAAGACTTCCCATTACTGATATCACAATACAGTCTCATTCATGGCGTCCACAATGAGGAGAAAGTGGTTATTTCTCAGCTGCTGAAACAGAACCACTTTTGTTTCAAGAAATAGGTTGAACCTAGGAGCAGGATAATCAGAAACAAGTATCAAATGTGACTTTCTCACTGATCTTTGGCTAAGATGTTTTGCGCCAGAGCTCAAGGCAAAAATTTCATTCAGCAGAATATAGATCCCCAAACTTGACCCTGATTAATTTGTTTCCCATGAGGCATTAAGGTCAGTTGCGAAGCATAAACTTCATATTGCTGAAACTAAGTACGAAGTGATAGACTTCACAAAGAATAAAGCAAATATCAAAAAAATGAAGAACAAGAATACCTGCTTATATGTCAAGTTTGTAGGAGGGTCATGATATGGATCGACAAGAGCTATACGGTCACCGAATTTCTCAGCCGAGGTCCTCCAAATGTCAGGAACTGCTTTCCAGTTGGTCGAAGGCAAAACTCCATTACACTGTGGAATACTTTCAAGTAGAGGTGCATACTTTCTGGTTTGCATTTTCCGTACCTATATAAAACGGAACACATTACAACCTTCCATGTTTTCAACAACTTCTTCTCATTGCAAAGTAGAAGCATCATTAAGAGGAATGAAAATGACATATGTGCATGAGTAAAATTGAGAAAGGGATTCAGCTCCTTTAATAATGAATAAGTGCAGAAACAAAACTATAATTGAATGAGCTTCAACATGGGAAAATATTATCGGTACACAAAATAACTCCAGAAACAAGACTTGGAACTTCACAACAATGCCAGAATACTGAAGTAAAATACTTTTTTTCAAAATGAATCGGAAAGTTTTGTAAGAAAATGAGCCCAAAAAAAAAGCAATTTTCGACAAGCCTGAGATCCTCTTGATACCAATAGGTCCCATGCAAATGCTAGTTTCAACCACAGAAAAAGTTCACATTTATCAGACTTCTCCCTTCAAGGTTCCTCAATATACATGCAATTTTCCACTTCGGTAATCAAGATCATAACCAAAGCATCCCATTACCATAATTTTCAAGCTTTAGAACTTCGCCTTGGCCATTGATAGGTTACAAATACAAACTAAATAATACAGTAAATTATAATCACAGAACTTCACAGGAAACAGGGGAAGCAAAACACCATATAATTCTGTTCCCAAAGAAACATATAAATTTGTAAAACAAACACAATAAAACAAAGCCAGCATCAAAGTTCATATATTATCACAAACAAAACCAAATTCCTTCAAAAAACACAGAAGCTTTTGCTTTGTGATTACCGTGGAGTCGCAATAGACTCGCATCATCCCTCTGCGGAGATTTTTAAATGAGCAATTAAATCCATACCGGAACATTAATCTCCCATCCAAAGAATCCATCACGAGATTGGACGTCACGTTCATGGTGACCGGTTTATACCCCAGTTTTTTTCAAAAATTTCTCCTTCTCCTTTTCTGGGTTCCTCTCCTTTCAGTTGATGATTTCAGAATTTGGGTTCAGAAAAATTGATAAGAGTTTTCTGAAAGATGGGTAGTCAGTCAGTGAGCAGCATTCAGTTCAGTATTATCATTAGCCATAAAGAGCAGAAGGGAAAAGTTCAAGAAATCAAACGATGAAAACAAGAAGATAAAGGAAGTAGGAAAATGTTGGTGGGTTTGTTGAATGAGATTATTTATTCGTTTGGAATGAATTCAATCAGGCGGCATTACATGATGATTAGGGAGAGATGATCCCACAGTGGTGAGAGTGTTTAGCTGTGAACCTTGGAATCAGTGCGTGTGGAAACATCCAAAAGTAGTAGTATAACTGACACTACACCAATTACCTTATTTTAATTTATCCTAAATTTTATTTATTGTATTATTTTAATTAAAAATAAAATATCAAAAAAATATTTTCACATTTATTCTTTCTCCCAAATATTACAAATACTATCTTTATCTATAAAAAAATTCCAAATTGAGTTTTTGAAATTAAAAAAAAAAAAAAAGTCTATGTTGAGTTTTGGAATTTGTACTAGTTTTAGAATTAATGTCAAAATTCAATGCGAAAAAAAGATTACGTTGAGTATTGGGATCTATACATCTATACTACTTTTAGTATCAATTTCAAAATTTGGATTATTTTTTTTTCTAAAACAATGAGTATTTTTAAAATTTCATTTTAAGTAGGAAAACGTAATAAATGAAACTTTAAAAAAAAAAAACTAAAATAAATTATAATAAGAGAACTAGAGAGAGTATGAATGGGCTACACGTTGTTATGTGTGAATTTTGTTCTCGGTTATTAAAATTTAAACATATGTTATTCAAAGTGTAAATACATTAGAGTATGTAGCTGCAATGCCTAATGAGTCGATACTAAAGATGGTTTTTTTCTTTTCCAAATATTTGAGGCTCTTGAGCAATCGTACTTAGTCTGACCAAACTTCAGCTCTGTTACACTAAGGCCTGTTTGGTTCATAGGAAAGGAAAGTATTTGAGGAATATAATTGTTCGGAATTTAATGACAAGGATAGTAAAGCAAAATAAAACACTTTCTTTTGTTTGGGTGTTAAAAAGAATGTTGTCAGGAATATAATAGACATTCCCAATGTAGTGTTTGGATGGTATATGGATTTTCAGAATGTAATATCTAACCTATTAATTTGTCAAATTTACTCTTTCTTTATTATGGAAAGAATTTTTTTTTTTGTTTTCACCTGTCACTCTCCCTCATATATATTAGTTATTTTCTGCATAAAACGTCAAAACTTTCAAAAAAATATTAACAAATTTTATAACATTATTATTCTTATTATTAAACAAACATAATTATTCAATCATTTCAAAAAAAAAAATCTTAACATAATTATTCAATCATTCAACCATTGTTTCTTAAGTAGAACAAGAAATGAATTTTCTAATGATAAATTCAAATGAAAAAATAAAAACAATTGAAATCAACTTAACTCCTGACTCATTAAACCAGAAGCTCAACTAGAAAAATCTCTTTCTCATCAGCACCAAGAGTAAAAAAGTAGTCCAACAAATTTGGATCATGAACAAGTTTCATAGCAGCTCGTTGTTTCTCTACTGCTGTCAGCACATCGACTTTTTGCAGCTCTTCATTTAGTTTGTGACGATTGTCCACATTCTGATTACCTCCTCCGGCAAAATTTTCTGCCACTTTAAGCATTTGCTCATTAGATTTTTGCATTTGAGTTGTGAGGGTATTAGTCAAATGCTCTAAACTCAAAATTAAACCATCTGCACTTCTTCTCTTAGGTTCTGGATTTTTGGAAGTTCCATCACCTCCAGGATTGGCTGCCAGTGTATTGGGATCATCGTCACCGTCAGATTCCTCACCATCTTCTTGATCAACATTTTCCTCTCTAACTATTTCTTCAACCATATCTGCAGGAGCTTCTGCATTATTCCCATTAGCTCTATTCTGACCCCATATAATTGCCAATTCATCATAATAAACAAAAGACTTATTTCTCATGAATGTGCATTCAGGATTAGCCTGGTGGAGGAAAAATCTCTTTTAGAATACAACATAAAAAAAATCATACTTCTTAATTTTAAAGACCATAAAATAAAAATACACAATTAATGCTTACCCGCAAATAGTCATCCCATACATCTGCACTTGCTGTCACACATTTTTTTTGGTCATCCCAACCAAAACCACTTAGTTGTCCATTATTTCGAACTTCATAAATCATATAATATTGTTTCTTCATTATCTTGCAACGAGATTCAATATGTGACTTCTCTTTCAAACCATGTTTAGGTGGTTTCTCTTGTAACATCCTCTCTAGTTCTTTTTGATATCCCTTTCTCAGCCCATTTCCATTTTCACCATTAAATCTCCCACCTCGCTTTAACTCAAGCATACATTCAATGAGTTTCGCATCCTCTTCAGCAGTCCACACATGGTTGGTACCTTTGCCTCGGCAAGATATACCTATCAATAACAAAAAAAAGTAAGAACGAATGTAAAGAAAAATCACTCACAAAAAAAAAAATACTTGAATAAAAATATAAAAGTAATGGAGAAATATTGTATAAATCATAAATCATAATGCATACATAAAAAAAAAAAAACAACGAGTTTTGACAATTTATTATTACTAAATGTACTTTAATTTTATAACAACTGGGAAAAAAGGTATTAAGAAATAAATACGACTTCTAACGATTATTTCTGTTTTGCCTCCATTGATTAAACATTTGATTGGCTAAATTTTGCCTCCAGTTTGTCCATTCTTTTACTGGTTCAACTGTCGAGATCACATCACCATCAAATTCAAACTCTTCTTGACCATTAAACTCAAACTCATCACCTTCAAAAGGATCAATCGGCATATTTAACCTTATATGGTTTTGAAGAAGACAACATGTCATGATAATTGATATGCTTATATTTTACCTATTTATTATATCCCTAATTTGTGATTTTTGCAATATATTTTGAGTACAAATATGCTATTTATGTGATTTTATCTTTAATTGTAGGAATTGTACTCAAATGAAGAATTGTTGAAGTTTTGAGCTAAAATCGAATTAAAAGCAACTCAATGGGAAAGAATTGAAGATTGGAGCAATTGATGGGGAAGAAATTAATGAGTTTAGAGAATTGGAGGGCCAATGATGCAATTTTGGAATGTTTAATTAAGTTTTTGGAAAATTAGCCGAGAAGGTTATGGTTATGCGGCCGATTTGGGATTGAAATTGGATAAGAATTTTAATCCCGATATTAATTGGGAAACAAGTTTTCTTGTTCTTCAAGGAGTAGGGTTTAGCCGGAAGCCTATAAAAGGAGGATTAGAGATTTATTTTTTACAACAGAACTGAACCGAAACTTGACCGAAAACCACCGAACCCTACACCTCCATCACCATCTTCTCCGCCTTCCTGGTCGCACAGCACCACCGAACTCCCTCCTCCTTCACCGAGCTCACCATCAACCGCCATCATCACCACCAGCTTCCATAACCACCACTGCTGCTCCACCTTCTCCTTCACCGAGCCTTCCCTGAACTACCTCTGCCTCTTCACGCCGAGAAAGCCAGCAGCAACACCTTCTCCATCATCCTCCACGCAGCACTTCTTCTCCATCCAGCTCCACACCACCGAAACCCACCATAGCTCCTCTCGTCTTCCTGTTGCAGCTCGTCATCACCGAACGCACCCACCACCGAAGCATCTTCCTCCATCATTGATTCACCGGCGAGCCACGCATCAGCGGTGAAGCGAGCAACCGGCGGGGAGTTTGGCGGGATTTTTGGCTTCATTCGGTTTTGAAGTTTTAATTTATTTAATTTTTTTTATTTATTATGTCTCTAAATATTATTGAATTAATTTTAATAATGTTTAGTGGCTAAATTCTTTTAATCTAGGGCTTGGGTGTAGCCACCGAATTTATTTGGTTTATTTGGTTTATTTTTATTTGATTTTTCCATTAATTAATATTTGTTATTCTTGTTTTAATTCATGTAAGTAATTGGCCACTATTTGCATGTCCGAAGATATTAATCAAGTAGCGAGAGTGGAAGATTAATATTAGTTCATAGGAATAATAAACTTAGGTTATAAGCTACGAGTAAGATTATAACCTTTGCAATATTTAATTCTTAATGGTCTTAATGTGCTTTTGTTAATCCCTATAGTCACGAGAGTAGTCATAGGGTTAATATAAGTAAGAGAATTATAACACGAGAGTGTATAGTTCTTAATTAGGTGAATCGTTGTGAGATTAATGGAAGTTAAAAGTCAGATACTTATGAACTGAACTAATCCAAATATTCGGTAGGTGAACCCAATGTCCTAGGTTTTCTTGGTTTGATTATTTGAATTAATATTATTTGCCTTTATTTCATTTATTTATTTTAGTTTTAAATTTTATTAACCTGAGATCATCATTTATCTAGATAATAATAGGAGTAATTTATACCTGGTAATTAGTAACCTTCTCTGTGGGATCGACCCTGCTTTCTGCTTTACTACTAGTAATTGTATTAAGTAGGTAATTATTATTTGACTAGTGTGACGACGGCCTGTCAAATTTGGCGCCGTTGCCGGGGAAGGCAGCTAATATCGAATTTAGATTACTTTCTTTTATTAGTTTAGATTTATTTTTATTTATTTTTATTTTATTTATTTTATTGTCTTGCTATTTTAGTGATTTCTTTTAAATATTTTTGTCTCGTTTTTATATGCGAAGTGCTAATTCTGAGACTTTGCAATTTGATCCAGAGATAGAAAGAACAGCTCGTGCGAACAGAAAGGAAGCAAAACTAAGAAAAGAGCAGAATCAGAGTGAAACCATGGGCGACAGAGTAAACATTCGGACACTGAGGGATTACTTTACACCTACGGAGAATGTTGCTAGGTCAAGTATTACTAGGCCTACCATT